TTTTTTTTTTTTTTTTGTTTGATTTATTCGGGTCTTGGTATTTCCGACAATGTGTGATGTGTACCATCACCTCTGGTCAGTACAATTTTTTTTATTAAATTTATAGGTGGATATTTGAGATCATAGGCTAATCTTAGTTTTGCAAAAATATCGATAAAGAAAGTGGTATAATTCATTTTGTTGTAACCTTTTTCTGCCGACCTGTAGTCCCACGGGAACACATGGTGATAATTGTGGTGTCCTTCTCCCACTGTTAAGAAATTGACTAATTCGTTTTCCGTTGGTTTTATAGTCCTAAGAACGAGAAACATTATTAAAAAAAAATCGATAAATAATTAATTTTATAAAGATAATCATGAAGGCTATACTAAGCGTAAATTTTTTTCTGATAAATGCCTTGATAAGAGATGTAATACTTTATTAATTATTTGTAGGATTATTTGTTTGACATTTATATATTATCAAGTAAACATATTAAAATTGTGAACTATTTAATTTTCTGTTTGCTATATATAGATGCTAATTACAGTTTTGTGCGCAAACTGTAAATATCATATATACGTGTGAATTACATACTTATCATACGGCCTGGTACCCCATACATGAGCGATACTGTTGATAGTCCATACGGAGTTCAAAGTGATTATATATCGTATAAAAACTTGCGACATAATGGCTCTTGTCCAGGTCTCATTCCAAAGGTATACAGGCATTGCCGTAGGTAGGATAAAACCGAAAAAAAGTTGAAGCGGCAAGAAATATCTATCACACAATCACAACAGCATTTAGAGTTCATTTAAGTGTATTCTTTAGCATTATACGTATTATCGTAAAACAAATTACTAAATTTTTCGAAATTTTTAATAACTTTTATTAGTAAGATAAAAAAACGACATGTACTTTTCTCCAAAAGTTACAACAGGATTCAGAACATAATATCTGACAGATCAAGCTTCTTGCTTTTCTCAGTAAATTCCGGATGTTCCTCCATCATCACCCAACCTATATGTGAATAAAAAAAGCCGCGCTTGATATTGTGAGGGTCCGCATTGGTGTCGCAATATTTGTGATGCATACGATGGTTTTTTACCCATTTGCATATAGTATTCTGTAAAAAAATTCAAAAAAGTTTGCAAGTAAGGTTGTAAAGTCCTATCTATACTTTCAAATTACACATTATATATATAAAACAAGCAAAGTTGTTCAAATTATTGACAAAATTGATTGAGAAATTAAAATTACCTGTGCACATGCGCTGAAGCATACTAAAAAGAAAAATTCTCAATGGTAACTTTGCTTTATAGCATTTATGAGTCCAAAAGTCGATGTGCGCCAGCAGACACGCCAAAATTGGATATGATGTACATACCGATTACTTAAAAATATATAAAAATATATTTTTTAATTTTCTATAAACATCTATAGGTAACAATAATATACATAGAAATTTAAGAAGTAGAACTTAAAAAAGTTTTAACATTTTTAGCAGATTTTGAATATTTTGCAACAATAATTATTTTTGGTAAGAAATTTATTTTTTAATTATTATGTAACTTTTGTACGTCGTTAAACATACGTAAATTTGTTAAAATATTTTATATTTTGTTGTTGATATTTATTGGTGGCTTATTTATTAATAAAATAAAAAATATGCAAGTTAAGTAATTATTTATCGTACAACTAATTAATTAGTGAAGAAAATATTACAGTTTTTTATCATAAAAAATAAAACAAAATTAATTTGTTACAATAGTTAGTATCAACAATATTTTATGTAATTTAAATATCGGTAAATATCGCTAACATTGTATGACATACTTACAATAAATTATAAATCAATTTAACAATTATAAAAATTTATAAAAAAGTTTCCGCGATTTATAAAATCCGTTTTAAATAGTTTTATAATTTGCGACAAAATTTAAGATAATATTTTATTTATAATTTTGTATTCCATGTGTATAATACAGAAAAAACTAAAAACATCGGAATAGATATACAAGCTATTAATGATATTTGAATTGTGTTTTTAACTAAATGTATATTCTGATTTTTCAAACATTTTTTATTATTGTACATAATAGATTTCTATCTCAAACTCTGTTTTGAATTATAGATCGCCTCAAACGAGTTTAATAATATCTTGTCGACACTATTATTGATATTTTTCATTACGCGAGAAGAAACTACTGTACTGGTAAAGCACCCAATCCCAATTACTTTAATTTTACGCTAAAAATAATATTTAAAAAAAGTCATATTAGAATTACGCAGTAAGTGTCCTAAAAATCTTGAAGTTTTCTTCAATTTCTATGTACATGTTGAAATTTCTGAGACGGGTATACTTACTCCACAATGTTGTCATAGGATTTGTCATGTAGTTGAAAGTTAGTAAAGCATAAATACCAATAGTGTGCAACACAACAACTTGCAGAACAATGTACCATATTAAATTTGTTTCAAAATCGAAAAGAGCTAATTTTATCTTTTCGAGTTTCTTGTCAGTAGCGTCATTATCAGTGTCGACGATTTTTACTGGATTCATATTGTTATTTAGTGCTTTTTCAGTATTTATCTTCGTGTTGGTATTGCATGCGGAAACTGACGTATTAACATCCATTTCACGGATAAATGTAAGGAAATTATTCTGAAAAAGAAATCAAAATAGAAATTAAAATGCAACACGATAACACACAAATCAATCTCATATTGTTTTTAAATAGAAAGAAAGAAAGGCGCTGTGTATTCTATCTGCAATAGCTTTTTTGATTCTATCTTACAGTTTTAAATATATATAACTGTGAATTGTATATATTGTAGATTTTCTTTAATAGAAAATAAATAATGACAAATTGTACGAAGAAAGTTTGAGAAACCGTGTACAAAAAATTCATTATTATTTAATTTATGTTGTTAAATTATCATTAGACTTAGATGTTGATGAAAAAAAATTTCTAAAAATCCCTCGTCAAGTATTTCGTATTTTATTCATGGAATAAAACATTTTTTTGATTACACCTTCGTTGATTCGTATTTTGGATCTGTAGTTCTTCGCCGATCTAATGCTCGATTTCTTTCTTTAGCATTCTTCCTCTATAAAATTTGTACTATATGTATCTTTTCTACTCTGAACTCACTATCTCAATATCAGTCATTATCAGTCTATCAAATAATCGCTGAATTTTTTAGAATTTATTTTATTGTTTATCGATCGTTTAGGTTCGTACTTATCGATTTATCGAAGCTTATAGTTTTGACAACAATTAATTAAAAATTTATCAGAATTTTCTTTGTTGTCTAAATTTTTATAAGTTTTTTAAAATTACTTATAAAATTCTTTTTAGAAACAAGTAGACATATTAATGAATAAATGTACCTTAGAAAGAATATGTAGATGCTAGTCATTAAAAATTTGTTAAGTTATGTAATGTTTATACACTATACCTTGCATAAGAAAATGTTGATATTTGTTGTAAAAACGACTTATCGATATCTCGCTGAAGGAAAACATATATGGCACTGACAAAAGTTCGTAATGGAATATCTGACGAATAATGCGCAAGAAATTTTTTAACGATGACATTGTTGAATAACAATGACATTGTTAAATATCATACATATTCAATCTATATAAATTTCCATACATTTTATCGTAATCATTTTCATAAAAAAATATGAATTGTAATGTTGAGATTCTTAAGATAATATGTGTTAGATATTTTATAAATTACAAATGTTATGGAAATACATAAAAAAAATCATTAAGGTTAACAAAATCAATTGTAGTAAATCAGTTTTTTTGAAATATATTTTTACAATTATGTTATTATACTTGAGCAAAAATTCCACGACTGATGGAGATTTACCGTCAAATTTCGTCATAACGCTAATAATAACAAATGCAGAGTGTTACAAGAAATAAATAACAAAATTATTTTTGGTTAATAACAAGTAGATTTTTTTACTGAAATAAATTTTTAGTGGATTTATAGATCTATGGAATTTGGTAAATGATAGTTTCACAGATCTCCTTAGATTCTTAGGCTGATGGTAGAGAACGAGACATAGACACTTACGTTTGTCGTAGTCGTGGACGTATGGTAAGGCACAGAAAAACGCAAGTCGTGAAACGTATTCACATAATAGCCTTTCACGACTTATGTTTTTCTCTGCCTTACCATACGAGTACGTCCACGACTACGACTTATGTCTCGTAGCTATACAATTGTACGAAATAGAATCACTATTAGAATACACGTTTAGAATACATTGAATACAATATAGAAACTTTTCTTTCCTTTTTCTTTTTTTTTGCATGGTGATAATTATCTATTAATTGGAAAGACTAAATATGTAAAGTTATAAAAAAATTATTTAGTGATACAACGAATAATATACAGTTGTAGATAAATCTTTGGACAATTACTTGAACGTATCACACATCGATTTTATCTACGACATAGCGATATTCTTGATTTGCAATTCACGTGTCTTGCAAGTGCACGAATAGAACTCCTGTTCAAAGTCCGAATTGGTGAGTTCATGTATTATTTTTTTATCTTTTTCTCTACTTAATTAACTTCCTGAACTTATTCCAAAAGTTACCTTTTATAATAAAGAATATTTTTTGCGTGTTAAAATTTTTTTGCATTAAAAACTTACATAAGTTTAAACGGTGTAAATAAGATTTATAATTTATAGTTATATCGTATATATATATATAAATTAAATTGCGTCGATACAACGTATTTTGCTAAATTTGCATTAACTTTTGGCACGATTAATCGCACGATGGTGGAACTTCGTCCCACTTAGTATGAGAGCCGTCACCTCTGTCCATAGCAACTCGTTTGATGAGCTCAGAAGACGGTCTCTTGAGATTGTAAGCCCATCCGATTTTCGCGAACACATCAATGAAGAACGCCGAGTGATTCAAAATGTACCAGTCGTACTCGGACGCTCGGTAATCCCAGGGAAATACATGATGATAATTATGAAAACCTTCGCCAGCCATAACTAAGCTCACACCCATATTTTCTGTCGGCCATATATTTCTAGTAACAAACACAAAATTGCGTAAAACATTTTAAGTACCGTATAAAATTTCCCGTATTAAAAAGTCTTATAACATAAAATTTTAGCTTGGAAGCCTTCCCAATGAAGAAATTGGTTTAACATTCGACAGATCTGTTCTAAAATCATTTGTCATACGAGAGAGTTATACAATATTGAATATATTCAGATATATCTCTTTAGAGGAACTCACTTGTCGTAGGGCTTGGCACCCCACATATGAGCGAAGCTGTTTATGGCAAAACTCCCGTGTAGCACAAATAACGCTCGGATTACTTGTGACGTGAACGCTCTATTCCAAGTCTCATTCCAAAAGTATACTGGTACAAGCGTGGGCAAGATGTAGGAGAATATTACAGTCACTATCATAGCATACCTGTCAAAAATTAACTGCATTAGCACGCTCATGCATTAATCAACAGCCAAAAAATCGGAGATAAAAATAGTCAGTTTTTATTTAATTTTGGGTCGCTAAACACGAAAATGACCTCCATTTTGTATGATTAGTTCTCATTTCCAAGATACACAGGTCAAACGTCAATTTTTGTAATTTTTAGAGTTGTGATAAAGTATATACATAGAAAGTATTTAGAAACAAGAGTGCGACAGGATTTTATAGCATTTTGCAAGTCTAGTACACAACCCATTACCGAACTAACCTGTTCCTTCTATCTTATACACAGTTGATTTCGATGAAGAGAACAGATATCTTTGAAAAACGAACTAACTAAGCTTTTATATTGTCATTTTCAAATTTAGCAGGCAAAAATACATAAGAATTGGTTGATTTCGTTTTCGACATACAACTTATTAAAACTTATTGTCTAGTGTAATCAGTGCACAATAAAATGTAGTAATAAAACGCATTAGTGAAAAAAAACCAAATGTAATTAACTTATTCTGGAAAACAACAATCGGATCGGCCATAACATCCCGTAAATCAGCTTCACGTAACTTCTGAATTATTTCGGGGCTGAGTTTTTTGAAAATCCAGCCTATATGGCAGTGGAAGAAGCCGCGTCGACTGTTGTGCGGATCGAGATCCGTGTCAACATATCTGTGATGCACGCGATGAACTCGTACCCAGGTAAAAATGGAGACCTGTAATTAACTCTGAATCATGTAATTATCTCTGCTAAATTTGCATCATAAAACAATATTTATATAAATATGTCTTTAAGAAAATAACAAAAACTTTTAGTTATCAGATTCTTTAATTTAATATTGGAATATAAAAGTGCATTTAAAAAAATAAAATTAATTTAAAAAAAATTAATTCTTACCTGAGCGGTAGAACTGTAAAAGACAAAAAGAATAAGTCTGAGCGGTAGATTAGCGCTGTACGATCGATGGCTCCATAACCTGTGAGCGCCGGCAGTCACACCAATACTTCCCATATCGTATAGGATGAGCGCTAAAAACACAAATAAATATTTGATTCTAATTTAATTGTACAGTATTTATTGTTGTAATATTTTGTTCAGAAAAATATTAATTCCTGAAAAACTTAATAACTACTTTACAATACATAATGCTCAAATTAAATTTTTTTCTGTAGACTTACACCACAAAATTGTCTTCAGATTTTGAAAATAATTAAACGTGATTAGACCATAAAGTGCGATGACGTGCATCGCTCCTAAATAGAAGGTCGAAAACCATCTTATGTTGTAGATGTTCGTCTTGCGAGTTTTTTTTTCCGTAATAGTTTTCTGTTTGCACTCAACTGTGTCCCAAGTATCACCATGCAAATTTTTTGTAATCATGCTGTGAATAATGAAAATCACAATTATTTAAGTCACATTTTGTTCAATAAATATAAATACGTTTTGCCACATGTTAGTTGTATAAAAATACATATTAGTCAAAAATAACGACACTTTTATTATCTTTTTTAGCAAATGAATAATAATAACAGAGTGAATGATAAATATGATATAACGATAAATATGATAAAAATGATATTGCTGGTCGATGTTGGACTAGTAGATAGATCACGCACACTGCTCAACTATACTCTGATACGCTCTCATACCAAGTCTTATTGGTAAACTAGTATAATTACGATACTGAATAGTGTGCAAACATAGAAAAAAGGAGCGTGAAACAGCATGGCATAGAAAAGATTTTTTCGAAGCATAACTATGGATGCTTTAATTTAATAAAATGCATAATAGACACTTGATATTATAATTGTCTATACTGCTAAATACTGTTGTAATAATGTATCAATTTAGAATTAGTATCATGCAAAGTAATTAATGAGTTTTAATCATAATCAATGAATTATATAAAATTTATTTAGTGACTTTAATTATTATATACATTTTTGATATAAATAAGAAAGATTCAGCTTGGAGTCATATAGAAATCAAAGAAAAATCGGAGAAACTTGGAAAATTCCAAGTAATATTTATATGCAACTTTTGATATGTAATTATCGTATTTGAGAGACGCAACGACGATCTCTTTGTTAGTTTAATTAGCTTAGATTTCAACCTCTCTTTAACTAAGTTTACTTTAGCCAAATAATCCATTATGTGTTCCGACTTTTATGATCTATGAAAGATATGTTATTGATTTCACATGATTTACGAATTTTCCATTCATCTGAGTTTTTAATTCAAAAATTATATTAAATATTAAACAACACTTAAAAATTGTTATTCGTTATTTTACGTACTTTGTATTATGATGATAAGTAAGTCGCTCACGAAAGTACACGTATTTTTTCGCGCGTGTAATACCGATCTGTCACTACTTCTTTCGTTATTTCTCTCGTCAGCAGTTGTAAAATCATATGTTTTACTCCATTATATGTTCAAGTCCAATAGACTGTAAAAAATAGCTATTACGTATCGTTTTGATGAAAAAAGAAATATTCAGTTTTAATAGCAAAACTCGCACGTGAAACAAGAATTATCGTCGTAATCGATGCGATATGTGTTTACAAGGCTATCACCCTGGTACCCCACTGGCAGCCATCGCCAGTTATCGACCCTGAGAAATAGCGCAATCGCGTTTTCGTCTCTCGCGATGTATCGCGGCAAATTCGTACGATTTGAACTTTGATAGAAAATATTATTGTATTGACTTATTTTTATTTATTAAAAATATCTTTTATGTATCTATAATGATACCAAGGATGTTGCTGTTTATCGAAATTAGTATAAATTCATCGGATGTATCTGCTCTACACTTGAGACTATACTTAAATTATACTTAATCACTATTTGAATATGTAACCTTTCAAATTTTTGCATCGTCTATATATAATATGTACATATCGGTAATTTTAATATCAAGATCAAACCACATATCTATAAAAATTTATAAAAATGTACAGAACTTGCAGTACATAAAAAATGCAATTTTCGTGATTCGGAGCTATGATTAATTCAAATCGTTGTAACACTTCCAATGACCTAAAGTATTTTATCCATAGGAAAATGGCAACCGATATCTTCAGCATAGAACCCAAGATATGCACAGCAAATAATTTTCAAAAAGAGAAATCTCTAACAATTGCAAAAATGACGGAAGATGAAAATGGCATACAAAATGAAAATAAAGTCCATACAAAGGTCGAAAAATGGTTCAATTTTAAGACAGAGTTGAAGTGGATGAATATCATACATCTTTTTCTTTTACATGGGGGTTGTCTGTATTCGTTGTTTAATTTTAGTTGGTCTGAAAATTGGAAGACAACCGTTTGGAGTAAGTATATTCTTTGGAAGATTATTAACTTCTGTTTCTACTGTACAATTTTGATTTTATAACAGACATCACGCTGTAAAATAGTTCGCTCTTTGTACTGATTGTTAGAATATTTTGTTACTTTAAAATATCAAAGTTAATAACTTGATTTTTACTAAATCGAAAAGATTTTAATGATTATACAATTTGCTTTTTTTTAATCATCTTTTATATAATTTATTCTAATTCTAACGTAATTTATCTTTACAGTATAATTTATAATAGTACTTTAGGATAGATTTATCGTATAAAATATGCATAATGTTATATTATAATTAATTGTAACATATAATCATAATGGTATTGTTTATGTACCTTGATTTTTCTCACTTCAAGTATTTATCGTGGGTACATTACAAGCAATCGGTATAAACGGTGGTATTCATCGTTTTTGGACTCACCGAGCTTATAAAGCGAAGTGGCAGCTCAGAGTTATATTACTTATTTTCTACTGCATAGCTGGCCAGGTAAATGTTTAGATAATTATTTTTTGCATTACGAGGAAGAAGCGTTTTTCTTCACAATGATTCCTTTTTAGAATAATCCTTTTGAGTGGGTGCGAGATCATCGAGTACACCATAAGTACACAGATACAGACGCGGATCCACACAATAGCAACCGAGGATTCTTTTTCTCTCATGTCGGCTGGTTAATGATGAAAAAGCATCCAGAGGTGATACAAAAAGGTAGTCAGATTAATATGACTGACGTAATGGCGGATCCCATTTTCGTATTCGGTCGCAAGTAAGTCCGCATCGAAGAGTTGCTAATTATTCTTCTCTTTGAAATACATTTTTACTCTCTTGAAAAGTAGTACGAGTGAGAATGAAATTTATAAACACTTGTTTATTCTCCTCCAAATTTTTATAATTGCTATGTCTTTCAATAGAGCTTTTGTGAGACTTGATGTGTAGCTTTCAATTTATTCTTTCTTGTAGACATTTCTTGATATTAAAGATTGTTTTCGCTTTCTTGCTACCGATTTCAATACCCGTGTACGCATGGAACGACATCTGGTCCAGGGCCGTTATGTCACAGATTTTTCGTTACGTACTCGGTTTGAATTTCACGTGGAGCGTTAACAGTGCAGCTCACTTGTTCGGTTCGAAGCCATACGATGCGTAAGTATGCAGCTATGTTTGACTAATGCAAAATAAATTTTTCTATAACTTATAGATTATGATTGCTAATTTCAATTATTTTTACATCAAATATGATCGATTTTAAAGAGACTGCAAAATTTTTTTTTTACGAATTTAAAAAATGCGGTGCTACGAATACTTATAGAATTCTCGCTATTCTTTTGCCTGCAACAAAGTAATTTTGTCTCGTATTTTATTTGAACGATAGAGAAATCAACCCGTCGGAGAACAGACTCGTGGCGTTTTTGGCGTGTGGCGAGGGTTGGCACAATTATCATCATGTGTTCCCATGGGACTACAAGGCGGCTGAATTAGGCGATTATAAATTGAATATCACCACGATGTACATTGACCTATTCGCGAAGATCGGCTGGGCATACGATCTGAAGCAACCATCAAAAGAGCTCGTGAAAACTGTTATTACGAAAAGAGGAGACGGGAGTCATTGGAGTATTGTATCGAATGCAAACAATAAAATTGAGTAATAAAGATTAATAATTTTTCAGACGATTCATCTGCATGTCACACGATTATGGTAACTTAGACATTTATGGAAATTTTGAAAATTCTGTGAAAAAATACTGAAAAATTTGTGTTCCACATAAATTGAAAATATTCAGTGAATTATTCACAGTTTTTAGTTCCATTTATAATCTGCTTGCGGTGTAACAAACACAATATTTAATCATCAAAATCTTGTTAACCGTAATGAACACAAAAAGTTCCTTTTGAGAGTTAAAAGTTCTAGTAATATACCTTATTTAAAAAAAAAGAAACTTTTCTAACACGTCGCATAGTTAAGACATGGTCAAGTACATCAAAATAGCCCTTTTTTACAACTTTGATCTTAAATTTCTCAAAATTGTGACGTGATGGAGCATTTTTGAAACCGGCATTGTATTCAGCATCAAAAAGACTATAAAAGAAGATATCTCGCTTTCTTGAGTTTTTTTTCTGTTGTACTGTGTAATGTCAACACCATGCAAAGCAGCGATTAAATTTATATCTTAATACATTTGTAATACAACAGTGAGGAAGGCCTGATTACAGGTCGAAACGTCTGTTCTGAATATTCTGATTTGAAATAAATACGCACGTTCATCCATAGGCGTTTTGCACCTCAAATTTTTCATTGTTTTAAATTTACCTAGTTTTTAAAACTGAAAACGTAAAGAAAAGTTACGCTTTTTACCAAAATATCATCGGGGAAAACCAGAGGTTTCCTCCAATGGTATTTTGGTGAAAAGAATAACTTTCTTTACGAACTTTCTCTTATCGTTTTGCTATGAATTTACTTATTTATTATATTATTTTGATATTATTCATAATATGTTCTATATTAAATTGTATATTTTAAATAAGATTGTTCATAAATAAATATGTTCTTTGTTGGGTATTGAAAGAATGTAGTCAGCTGTACTCACAAACACGCATTATTTGTCGCTTTAATGATTACAAATGATAATGACAAAGAGTGATACCAAATGTCCGTAGGCAATGTGCTCAAATTTTTTTGTATTTGCTTGTATTTGCTTTTTGTATTTTTGTATGTATTTGAAAGACATTTTTAAAAAATGATGCTTTGGACGTCTTTCAGATGTTTTTAAAACATCCTTGCTGTATCTGGGATTTGCGTCATTTGATAACATATTCAAATAGTTTTAAATGGGAATATTCTTGTATGATTCTTTTTTATTTTATTGTGTAATATTTGCAGATCTCAATATTAAAAATATCAATATATTCGAAGCTTCGATCTTACTGCAACGGTAAGTAATTTTTATGATTAATTGAAAGTAACATTTAAAATAAATAATAAATAATGGAAAATCTGTTTTTTACAAATCAATATTTTAATAATTAATCAAGATATCAACAAAATGTATAATGATAGATAAGAAAACATTTTATGGCACACATATAGTTATACAGGGTGTCCCATTTAACTTGAGACAACTAAATATTTCGAAAAATAAGCATTGTACGAAAAAATGTCCCAAATAAATTTTTAATATTATCAAGAGGGACGTCTGCCTGTGTAAAAATTAACCCGCCCCCACCGCCCCTTGGGGGTGGGGCGGGTGGCAACTTTGAAATTTCAAATGGGAACTCCCATTTTTTATTGCAGATTCGGATTTCTTGGAAAAAAATACGTAAGTTTTGTCCGAGACATTTTTTCGAATCGTGATGGCGCTGTAATCAGTGAAAATTAGTTTTTGCCATTTTCTCTCACCATCGGAGTGCTTTATTTCGGTGAGTCCCCTCGCCTCTCACTATTCAATTACAATAAATGCTTGAAATAATGACCTTCCATTTCGATGCATTTATTAACTCGAGCTTGGAATGCTTGTACACATGTAGAAAGTGTATCTGGCGTTATTTGTGCGCAAGCATATCTAATACGTTCCACCATGTTTTCTCGAGTATTTGGTACTTTTGTATACACTTTTTCTTTTTTCTGAAAAGGGGAAGTCTAAGTTGCAAATTTATAACACCGGTTCTCCATTTGAAAGGCTTCAAATGGACATTTTTGGTCCATTCCCTTCTTTTTCTTTAAGCAATAAATATTTGTTGGTTATTATTGACTGTTTTATTAGATGGGTAGAAGCTTTTCTTTTAAAGAATTTCAGAACTAAAACCATCGCTGAAATTTTTGTAAATCAATTCATTTCTAGGTTTGGTGTGCCTTCGGAACTTCACACTGATCAGGGAAGGAATTTTAATTCGCGACTCTTCTTTGAATTATTCCAATTACTAGGAATTAAGAAGATAAGAACTCTCCGTTCCATCCACAGTCAAATGGTTTGGTGGAACGCCAACACCAGACGATAACAAATTATTTGGCCAAATTTGTTTCTACAAATCAACGTGATTGGGATCAATGGTTGGGAATGTGTTTGTTAGCCCTTAGATCAGCGAGACATGAGTTAGAATTTCTCCAGCATAGATGTGTTTCGGCAGAGATTTAAAGCTTCCATTAGATTATTAGATCTTCTTTGTGGTAGCATCTTTGTGATAGCATCTCCTCCTCAAGAGTCTGCTTATTCCAGGGATAATTACGTTTCTCAAGTAAAGGAAAAATTAAATTTTATTCACGAAAAAGTTAGGCAGCATTTGAATTTAAGGTCTATTAAGATTAAAGCTTTTTATGATTGCAATGCTCGTCAGATTTTGTTTAACTCGGGACAGAAGGTCTGGTTATACAATCCTCGTAGATTTCTAGAAAGATCTCCTAAAATTGCAAAGCAAATGGGAAGGACCTTATGAAGTCGTAAAAAGGTTGAACGATGTAGTTTATTGTATTAGGAATCTAATAAACATAAAAATAAGGTGGTACATTTAGATAGACTAGCTCCCTATTATATATGAAAGGCAAATTTTGGAATAATTAAATTTTTATAATTTCGAGTCTAAAGTTAACAATTTTCTTTCTATTTTCAAGTCACTCGTTTATTTTGTGTTCAGTTACAGTGAATATAGAAGATTCTTGAAGGAAAGAATTAAGAACACCAGAAAAGCATGGCGTGAATTTTCTTTTCAATGAAGATTGTCTTGCCCACGTTTTTGACCGTGGTTTTCCCGTGGGACGGAAAGCTAATGCCGAGGCAAAGACTTGGGGAGTCCTCAGGGACGCTGGGTCTACGGAAGTTATCCCCCCCCCCCTTGTCTGAAAATTAAGAAGTCGATGGGAAGTCAAGCCCGGTAACTTGCATGAAGTGCAAGGTAGAGCGAGAAAACATTTCCTAGAATCGACAGCTTGAGGATTGGAGATATTCGTTCGGAAAATTTGTTGCAGCAGCTCAGAGAAGAACAAAGGAATATCTTAATCCTAAAGAAAAGGAATTATTTCAAGAATAATTGTCGGGACGACAATCTTGAAGAAGAGGGGCAGTGTTGCGCCCGTGCTACTTCGCCGCTGATGCTGTGTGTTACAGCTGACGGACCAATCGATAATATCGATCGGTCACTAGAAAGTTGAAGCCATATGACATTTGTTAATAATAAGAATCTTTCTTATATTTGTTGTCAAGATAATATTGATTAACAGTTTAAAAGGTCTCTATGACAGTTTGTAAATAAATTGTAAGATGTCAGATTTTCGGGAGCTGTCTGCTCGGGCGGACGTGTACGACGGCTCTGATCTTTAAATTGTATTCCCGATTATTTATTATATGAGTCACCGTTAAGTTATTGTTCCTATTAAAGTGTTCTCTGTTTTATTGAAGTATTGTGTTGTGTTTCTTAATTTCGCGAGTTTTGCTGTCGCGATAATACCTCGTTCCGCGGACGCAACAATATTATTGGACTGACTCTAGTATCGTGCTGCACTGGCTAAGAGGAGTTAGTTGTAACTGGACAACCTTTGTCGCCAATCGCGTAGGCAAAATTCAATCGCTGTCATTAATTAAAAATTGGCGGCATGCATCGAGTAAGGAGAACCCGGCAGACTTACTTTCGAGGGGCGTTATGCCCGAACTGTTAGCACAATCAACGACTTGGTGACACAGACCTGAGTGGTTGGAAGGTGTGGATTCTGAATGGCCTGTTTCTGTCATAGGCACGCCAAACGATATCCCAGAAAAAAGGGGATATAGCAAATCTTGCTCCTCTTTCGTCGTCACTTTGGAATCGGAATTCGATATATTTGAGAAATATTTTAACTATAAAAAACTCATAAGAATCTTTGCATTCTGCTTGCGATTTATCAATGCAATCAAGCATAAAGGAGATAAATTCAATCATAATTGTTCAAAGGATAATTTGATTAAACAAGCACTATCGTATTCCAGTGAAGAATTAGAAAACGCGAAATTGGCTCTCATTAAAATGGTGCAAAGGAGTTCGTTCAAAAAGGAGATTGACGATATCTCTAAATTTGGTGTTGTAAACAAGAAAAGCTCGGCATTGAAATTAAATCCTTTTTAGACGCGAGTGAAATTCTGAGAGTTGGTGGTCGTCTTAAGCACTCAAACTTATCATATGATGCAAAACATCCTATTTTATTACCCGGTCGTCATAGCTTTACCCGACTAATTGTAATTCATGAACATAACCGATTGCTTCATGCTGGGGCTCAAATGACTGTCAGCAATTCGGCAAAATTTTTGGCCATGCGTTGGGCGTAGCGTCGTGCGTAATATTATAAGTAAGTGCGTAACCTGTTTCCGTAATGCTCTCAAGTTATCCAATACCCTAATGGGAAATTTACCTGAATCTCGCGTTAGTGTCTTCAAGAGACCTTTTGAAAAATGCGGAGTCGACTATGCGGGTCCGATGTATTATAAGGAAGGGCAGCGTAAAAATTTGCGACTAGTCAAATGTTTTATTTCTATATATGTATGTTTTGCGACAAAGGCGGTACATATAGAGTTAGGCGACCTTACTATTGAGACTTTTTTGAATGCACTGAAACGATTTATTTCCAGAAGAGGTCGACCAAGTGACATTTACTCTGATAATGGCTTGAATTTCGTCGGTGCTGAGCATCAGCTTAGCGAACTGTATGACATTCTCAACGATGATAAGTCAAGAAGAAAGATAATGGAAATTACAAGCGGTGAACGTATAAACTGGCATTTCATTCCACCAAGGGCCCCACACATGGACGGGCTTTAGGAAGCAGCAGTAAAGGCTGCAAAATTTCATATCAAACGCATTATCGGAGAGACTTCATCGGAGAGGCGGATCCCAACAATCTGTCAGTTCTCACAGCAGCGCATTTTTTGATAGGTTGCCCTATCACCTCGTATCCAGAAGCGAGTCTGGAAGGATTAAATGGGAATCGATTAACAAGATGGCAACGCGTCGAACAATTACGCCATTTTTGGAAACGATGGACCAAAAAATATTTACATAATTGTCAGCAGCGGAGTAAGTGGAACGCGGTTGAGGCTCCTGTGACAGTGGAACAATTAGTAATAGTGCAAGAAGATAATTTACTTCCGTTAGTCTGGGCTTTGGCCGTATTGAAGAAACTTGTCCAGGAGATGATGAAATAGTGCGCGCAGCATTAGTGCGTATTGCTAAGGGTATTTACAAGCGCCCTATTACTAAGCTTTGTATTCTTCCTATAGATTAAGTTTGCGTTTGCGTTTATTTTTCCTTGCGTTCATTTACATAGTATATAAGTTTTGCTCAAGTTAGCGTAATATCATACATTTTCGTTTGTACTAATTTTAGTTTTGTTAATTGAAAACACTAGCTTTCAAAGCGGGCGGTATGTGCGCGCTTATTTGTATTGCGCGCCTTTTTCCGTTTTTTGTTTGGCAGCGTGAGGGAAATTCCTCAAATCTCTTGCCCCTCCTTTAGTGCGATGCGGATGGGTGTGCCGCGCGCCAAGAGGAGAGTGATAGAAGCACCTCTCTAAGTGTAAGACGACTTGTAAAAAAATAACGTCCGCATACGCAAGGAATTTTTTAAATAAAGAAACCTACTAATTATATACACGCAATTTAAAAGAAATTTAAGTGTACGATTTGTAGATCATCACGTAGACAACATAAATTTTAGCGAGAGTGTGCTCTCTGTTGCCTCAACAAAACAGAGTAAACTAACAAAAAAACTCGTAATTACATAATTATAATTTTTTGTGATATATTATGCCACGTGATTACTGACTAGACTATAAAGAAGTGAATAAATAATTGGAGAGACAAGAAGATAAGAGAACAGTGCTCCGGGTGCACTTTTAAATTAATATTCACATTTGCGTATGGCATAAGTCTAAAGCATATTTTATAAATTATACATTCTTAGCACTACGTTGGAAAAAATAAAACTCATAATTGCTAAAACATATACAGCACGTATTATAATAAACTTTAAAGTTATTTGTACATTTTCGTTGTATTTAAATACATTTAAAAATTAGAAAGTACAAATTGTTTTATTAATATTAAATTAATATATAAATTCTGCTTAAAAGAAACGATTTAATTGTTTTAGTGTATAATGAATAGAATTATGTTAAAACACGCAATTTAAAAGCAATTTGAAAATATCATCTATAGTTATACTGGATGATACAAAACAATCTGATATTTTTCAAATGTCATATTCTTCAGCGATTTATAAGATGATTTTTCTTTCAGCAACAAATTGTTCCAAAGCATAGTTTTTGAGATATAATTACCAATAGTTCGCTACTCTCTTTTCTCTCTCTCCCACACGCACGAGTCCGGTACAACGGCATACAGTAAAGACAGTGCAACGCAACATAACGTGACGCTTGACAGTCACGTTTTTTTAACAATACACTGATTTTAATCTCAGACCAATTACTGTTTCTAATTTTTAGGAAAGATTTAGGAAGAAATTTTCATTTTTATTAAAATGCTTTAAATTGTTAGAGATAACGTTAGTTATCATTAGTTATAATTGTCATAGTGCTATTTACAAAGAAGGACAAAGAAGAATGAATTAAATTTACGACAGTCTTTCCAGTCAGTGTTTGCTTTATTTGTATCATAGTGATAAAAATGTATCGAGCACCGAGTAAACCATTTTTTAGTTTTGTGTATCTTTGTGTAGGAACTTGCATGGATCCAATTGACAACTTGGAAAAGTTTGGTGCAGACATATTATTTGGACACATTCTTCAAGCAAGTGCAGGGTTTTTATATTGTGAAAATACAATGCACAAGCGTTATGAACATAAATTTAAAATGTTTATTTTGCAAATACTTTTGCAAACGCAAACTTAAAATTCAAAATATTATCGTACAATAAACGAAAGGAATGTAGAAAACAGTAAAAGTAACAGTTCTTTTACAATTTTAAAAGACTGCGACTAACGAATAATATATTGATATACCATCATAAGTATATCAAACATTAACATTTATATTTACATTAATATTGTAACACTCACATTGTAACATTTACGTTATATTTTAACATTTACATTTATATTGTAAATTTTTTCATAAACAGTTATCAAAATAACTTTTAAATATTTAAAATTAATATAAAATAATTAAAAGTAATTTTTGCATTTATCTTTATCGAAGAAACTTTTCAATATATCCAACATAACGAATTAATCAAATTATTTCTTTTTAATTTTTATTATATTTTTATTTAATTCAATACATTTGTAATATACCTCATGTAAATAACAGCAACAATATTATTCTTATAATTAAATAATTTTAAACCACAGTTTGAATTTTAATTTAAAACATTTCCACCATCCTTCACCTTAAAAGATTGCACAAGATTCCGTTCCCAGTAAAGAATGTTAAATTCTTTAGCTAACAAGAAACTAACGAACGGTAATATTATAAATAATACAAAATCTATCCTTTTGTGATCATTATATGTCTCATAAACCACTTCTCATTAACCTGTTAGCGAAAAAAATGCATTTCTGTTACGGCTGCTTAAGCCTCATTTAGAAATATAATAATTTCGGGTAAGGACATGCCAATGATATATTTTAAACAAATACACTAACGCAAATAATAAAGAGAATTAATATAATAAATAAAATTTCACATGCATATATTCATCAAAATAACAGAATATTTTAATTTATATTTTATAATAGCTTTTTAATGTGCAATCTATATCAATTAAGATAATAAAATTAAATAAAAATTTTTTACATAGTTTCAAAATTAATCATAGTAAAGCATGTGACATTAGAAATAGTGACAACAATTATTTTAAATAAGAAAATTTTATAGTTGTAATTAACATCAATAATAAAATTACTTACATCAAAATTCTTCTTCATTAATTACAGATGCCACTTTCTCGTTTGCCATGATCGTCACGTGATCACCCTCGACGTGATGTACTACAACCTTGTTTTCAGTTATCTTAAACATTAGAAATTTTATCAATAAAAAATATCATAAAATTTGGTGTATTAAATGATAAAACGTTTTCTCAAAATACCTTATACAAACCATAATCCTCTTTGAGTTCAGGTGCATATGACGATGTAGATTTTAACAACGTTATGGGTGATTTAATACGCGGTAATGTAGAAGAATCATATTGCCGAATAATCAGTATATTTTTATGAATTGTTGTATACAGTGTTTGCAAATTTGGGCGTGACAGAAATGAATTTACTTTTGAAAAGTATTGAGCGAAAACTTCAAATCTTTCTTCCCAAGTTTCACATTTTCTTAATTCTAATAGAACCTGTCAAATTATACGCTCTACTTTTATAATCTACTTATTATAAAATGAGAAATATTTATAATATAAAACTGACAGTAAAAAACTGTCATACATAAAATATCTGCAATCAAAAATGTATTAACTTAATTAATTTAAAAAATATAAATAATAGAGCTTACCTCTTCACTGATTTCTATGTTCCAAATATTTAGAATAATGATCATAATATTAATTTGAATTTCTTCATCGCTCATATAGCAAGTCTTATTGATTTCACTACTCATTATATATTCCGGACTTCCATCGATGAGAACTAATCGACTTTTAGTATCCGTAGCCTCCAATCTTCTTATTAGTTCAATTGCAAGTAAAGAACCGAAAGAATATCCTGTTATTACGACTTTCTTTTTGTCTCTTATTCGTGATGATATGCACTGAAGAAACAAAGACAAAAATAAATTTATTTAGCAATTTTTGCATCTGTAAGCTAAATGCCATTTGCTATTCCAAAATCATATGACAATATAAAAATTTTAATAGTAACAAATATAATTGTCAAGACACCATGCACGGATAGCACTGTAAAAATCCAATTTCTGATAATGATATTGTTATGGTTAAATATGGTATAATACTGTCTCCGCGTCTATAGAAAAAATTTTTAATAATTATAAAAAACAAGAAAGTAGGACAGAATAAATTTTGAAAATATAACATGAAAAATGTAAATTTTAAGGAACTTAAACGCATAGTTAGGCAAAACATTAAATAAAACTTTCGAATAAAAACAATACAAATTATTACTAACTGTGATTATATACTTTTGCAAGACATTTAATTACAATTACATACCATTAAGAGATGATCAGCCATCTCGGATAAAGTGTTTGCAACACCGATATAGCCATATTGCAAGGATGTTGCCGAAAATTTAATTCTTGGCGCTAAATGATTAAATATTGTTCCGCAGCCATCAAGTCCTGGTATAAAAAATACATGAGTTGAATTATCCACTGTGTTGGTCGGAAGATCTAAACAAATTTCTGAAACAAAATCTTGATTTCTCAAAACACCAAATAACAATTTCTGTTCTTTCGTAAGATCTATCTTATTTATATCAGTTGCCGCTTCAGTTGCCTCTTCAGTTTGTGTCTCGTTGCTAACGTTTACATTGGACATTTCAATCAGTTTTGCAAATGTGAGGGTTCGTAGTTCTTGTGGAGTGAGCAAGATATTAACTTCTCGTTCCAAAGTTTGTTTAATTTCCACAGCCATCATGGAATCCATTCCAAGTTCAGCCAAAAGTGTATTTTGACTTATTGTTTTTATATCTTTTATATCTGTAACACAAAATTCATAAAAAGACATTATGACACATTATATTATACCAAAACAGGTTTGATAACATATTGTACGTGAAAGTGTGCGTATATGTATTTGTGTACATATTTGCGCGTGCAACAATGACTTTTGAGATGTTGTGATATCGAAATAAATAATACACGCAAAAATTATTACTTTCTAAGTAGGCAATAACAGAAAGTAATCTGTTTGTTAATACTTACTCATAATATCAGCAACAATTTTCACTATGTTGTCTAATCCGGATAACCCCGTTTTCTTTTCACTTACGATCATGCTGCTTACGATCGGTCGGTTTTGGAGCAAAAATTTCTCGAGTTCTACAAAGCAGGAAGATATTTTTTGCTGCAAGGTACCGCCGATAACAAGCGCTTTATTATTTTCCTGCATGTCAGCGACGAGACCTACGTCACCTATAGCTCCCCATTGAATTGCCAATCCCGGTAGTCCTTCCTCCGCTCTTTTTTCACACACTCTTTCCATGATGGAATTGGCCATCCCATAATTAGTTTGTCCAGCGTTCCCTTTTCCGCAAGAAACGGAAGAAAACATTACAAAATGTCGAAGTTTTAAACAGATCTTTCTAGATGCTTTATCTAATGTCTGTGTCGTCCAGGCTTTCGACAGGAAAGATGCCGTGAAAGTTTCCATGGTTTGATTCCTAAGTAGACAATCTTTCAAAACCACAGCAAGATTAAATATCGCATCTATTGGTGCTTGTTCCTCCGCCATTTGTAGAAAATGTTCACATTCTTCGGGATTAGCAAGATTTGCGTTTTTAAATATCTGCACGTTTACACCGTACGATTTCCATAACTCAATCCTCATTCGCTGATAGCCATTCTTTATACCAGTTCTCGAAGTTAGTATGACATTCTTCGCGCCTCTAAGTATCAGCCAGTCAGTTAACTCTAAACCAAATCCACCCAAGCCGCCTAGTATAACGTAAGTTCTATCGCTTAGGCAGTAATAACGACGGTGTGCAAGAACAGGTGAATCCAAAGATTTACCATCCTGTTGTATGTTTAAAATAATCTATAAACATATCACTATATTAAAAATATGAAATTTATTACGTGTTACGCACAATTTTTTTAATAATTATTCATAAGATACGTTTAATTGTTGTAAACGTACTTTTCCTGTGTGTTTACCGCTTGCCATATGTCTAAAAGCTGCTTCTATCTCCGTCATAGGAAAAATTGTCATCTGAATAGGTTTAATATTATTCTTTCTTAAACCCTCAACCATTAACTTGGATAACCGAGACTTATTTTTATGGTTACCGATAAGAATTAGATCCATAAGAACCGAATAAAAACTGATACCTTTTTGAAATAAAGATATGTTTAGAGGATTGTTAGACAAAATATCAAACTTTCCAATCTCTAGAAAACGACCCCTTTTTGCCAAACAGCGAACAGATGCTAAAAGTTTTTCTTCCGCCAATGAGTTTAATACAATATCAACGCCGCGACCGTTTGTTTGACTCATTATCATTTGTTCGAAACTCGTGTCTCGCGAATTTCCAATATGCTCATCGGGAATAGCCGGAAACAGTTTTCTGATGAATTTACGTTTTTCTGCAGTGCCCACGGTAGTAAACACTTGACATCCTTCCTGAAGAGCGAGATGAATGGCTGATTGTCCAATGCCGCCAGTACCAGAGTGGATAAGTACTTTATCACCCTTCTTCATTTTTCCAAAATGATATAGGGCATAATAACTTGTGCTATAAATACACGGTACTGTAGCCGCCTCCTCAAATGTCCATGTATCGGGTATGTTCCAACATAAATCTTTATCTCGTACAACGACATTCGCTATGCACCTACGAACATAACAACATTATTTTATCAATTAAATTAAATTATTGATTGAGTAATTATAAAATAACGATCTCTTATCACGAATAGAAGCAATAAAGCAGTTTTAACTGTTAATTTGAAAAAATTTGTGTAATTAATATAAGACTGTGACAACAAATTTGTTATTCACAAATTGTGTATTACGATAAATTATGCACGTATATATACGTATATTAGTTAGTTACATACTTATCGTCCAAAATTCCCATTACTCGTTGTCCATTGCCATCGAATCCTACATATTCCAGTCCAAGACTCGTGTCATGAAGTCGAGTCAACTTTACGAAGTCAGATGATAATTTGCCTGTTGCTAGCATTACATCTTTGAAATTGATGGACGAATAGACCACGCGTACTATATCATTGCCATGAGAATTGACAGATATATTGTTTTCCATCCAACAGAAAGAATTTAAATTTCCTTGAACCTGTAGGAAAGTATTCGTTAAACAAATAAATATATTTGTTAGATAAAGCGCGAGACTTTTAAGACAAATTTTTTTAAATATTTGAAACAAAATAATTTACAATATTATTGTGTCAATAGCACACTGATAAATTATCTAAAGTTCGGCAAATGGTTTTATATACCGTTTGGCATACATAGGCGGCAGTTACGGATTCGACTTCTGGATGCGGTAATCGCAAATGTCGGTAAGATCCCCAAATTTTATTAGGTCGCAAAACGCTAACAAACATATCTTTTTGTAATTGTTGCATATAGAATGGATCTTGTAAAGAAAATTTAGGAGCATGCTTGTCTTGAATAAGCACACCTCTAACCAGTTGTCCACCAGGTTCTTTCCTTAAGCAGTTAATAAAACCCAATAAACCGCATTCAAAGTCCCCCTCTCCAACAATTACAATTCTGCTATTGCCGTCGTGTTTATTCCCGCCGTCTACAAGTTGCTTCAAGTCTTCGAGCCAATTGAAATTATTATTATTTATATAGACGAGAATTGTTTTTGTTATTATAACCTTTTTCTTCAATAGTATAATTATTTCTTTATCCGTACGCTTTTCCAGAATAACATTTAATGCATATTCACTCAAATATTTTTCATATTTATTTAGATTGCATTTCTCGCGTGTTAAGAGATAACCGCCATCCCTCAAAAGAGGCAAAAGTTTTTCTAATGAATTCTGATGTTTCGTCAAAAGATTAAATCCTGTAGCTATCAAAGCTTTGTCGCCTACAAATGGTTCGTTTAAATCTGCAACCGAAACATTTGAAGACAGTTCCTCTAGCTTGAAACGATTCGGCGATGTTAGTATAGCAACATTTGCTTGTATTAAAGGAATATCAGCAAAAGCTTCAATCAGTAACGTTGATGATAGATCTTCTAACATTACATCATCTGTATCTTCCACTAGCTCTATGGCTGTTGCTTTAATGATCTGATAATCCTCTAGCGCTAGCTGCGTCGATATTCGAATTGCTTCATTTAACGAAATATCAGCGCGATCTTGGTGAGCTATAAATTTATGTTCTTCGATGACGGGATCTCCGATTGGTTTTCGGCGAGAAATCGAGATAGCTTTCAGGCCATGTATCTCTATTCCATCTGATTTAATTACGTCTATTTCTTTATATGCACGTACTGATACCTCTGCAATTTGGTAATTTAGAAATATTGCATTTTAAATAATAATCTTTTCAATATTTATTAAATTGCAAGTAAGATACTTACGTTTAGTTTTATCTGATGTCATTTCCCGTAACTTTGAAATGTGAAGTGCAGGATTAATTACCAATTTTTCAATACTCGTTGGAACATATAAGTCTCTGGTATCTCTTCCAATTATACACATCTGCAGCATGTTGTCCATGAATGTCACCCAATTACCTGTCCAAATGACATGCCCTTTGCTGCCTAATACTGATGCGCTATTTAAGCCACAAAATTCACCAGTGTATTGATAACCGCGTAGTTTTAATTCCTTGTAAATGTCTCGAGAAGTCATATGTTCTTCCTCGTCAGTATCCATTGGTAATAGACCATTCGGCGTCATTTCTTGTTCGATATTTGATACAGTGCGTACTATACCTGTTACAACAACGCTGTCTCTTTCAATGATTTCAAATGTACCGCTCCCTACAATAATTTTGCATCGAATATTACATGTTGTTGTAATTTTATTATTAAAAGCTTTTTCTGAAAGAATAAAATTTTACGCATACCTTTCTGTATCACAATTGTCAAATTCACAGAGCTATTGTTTGATAAATGAATAGCCCGAATAAATTTTATATCTTGAAATACTATTGGCATTGATTGGTAAGCTTTACCCATTATCATTCCAATGGTTTCCCAAACAAGCATTAGATAGCCTGTTGCAGGTAACAAATTTCTTCCGTCAATGACGTGACCGGTCATATAGCCATAATCATCGTTATTCGTTAAAATTTCTATGTGTCTTGCTCTGTATTTGATTTTCTCTGTTGTTAATTGTGTGCATGTAAACCAATCTTCAGAATGATTCCATCTGATGGTATTAAATTGTTTGTTTATACAATTATGCGTTTATTTACATATGCAATAGTTTAATTTAAAAATATATTGTACCTAATGAATGGTGAGATCATAGGAGTGCCTCGGCTAACTGGAAAATTCACCGGTGGATACAAATTAGCGATCCTCGGCTGGAGGCCACAGTTGTAGAGTTCTCCAATCCCTTGCAATGCTAAATTGATAGCATTTGGTTCATTACGCTTAGTCAGTACAATGTTCGTTACTTTTGAATGTACCGATTCTTTCAAAATGTCCTGTAAAGTGCTATCTGGTGCAATTTCGATAATTACAGCGTCATCTGGGATCATATGAATTGTTTGTTCAAAAAGAACTGTGTTTAATATACTGCGCGTATGGTAGCTTGCTGAGCATAATTTTGACGTTGGATTGGACCATTCATTACGAGGTACGGAAGTGCTGATCCATTTCAGGCTCCTTTCTTTGGGCTGTGAAATTATTTCGTTCAAACTTGTAAATAACTGCGATTTCAGAGAAGCGAGGTAACGACTGTGATGAGGTATGTTGTTGCAGGAGATTTCTGTCACGTTAATGTTGCTCTTCTGATAAAAAAATATGTATAATTAATATATAATTATAATTAATTATATTATATAATTATAATATAATATATAATATAGTATATAATGTTTATTAGTAACTGCGACAATTTGAAATTAAAAAATTGGATATATGTTCGAATATTAAGAAAAATACTACGTAGATTAATAAAGAGAAATCTATAATTTATAGAAGGTAGAAAATCAACATACTTGCAATTTTCGCAAAAATTCTTGCATGGATTTAGTGGGGCCAGTTACAATATTGCTGTTTTGATTGTTTCTGCATATTATTTCGATATCCGTTGGACATATGCTTTTAAGAGAACTGTAATCAAAATTGAGAACTGCGACAGAGCTATGAACTAATTTTTCATTTACGCATGCTAAACCAATAAAGTACGCTGACAAAATAGTTTGTTCCATAGTCAGACACCCATCTGCGTAAGCACAACCAAGTTCACCAGCAAAATGACCAACTATGTAATCCGGAATAATCTCTATAGATGTTAAGAGATCTACTAAGCCAATCTACAAAGTTAATAAACAATTTTTTCATTAAATATATTGCATTAAAACATAATATTTATTATAAACATATTTTATAGTAAAGTAAATATAATATAGACAAATATTAATGAACTCAAATTTGCGTTATTTATCAGTGTAAACAATATACCTATTTACGGTTTTGATATATAATACCTGCATAGCGATGATGCCAACAAATGTATGTAAAGCACTTTCGCTTAATTTTGCATCCATTGTCGTCAAAATATTTGTGATACTTATATCATACGGTTTCAAAATAGCATCGCACATTTTTACAGCATTTGAAAATGCTTGAAATTTTAACAGCTCTTTACCTGATAAAATTTGAAAATTTATGTATTATTTTATTAATCAATTTGTGCATATACAATATGTTGAATGTTAGATACATACTCATTTCTGGCCTTTGCGATTCCAAGGCAGAGAATATGAAACAAATAGGTCGTTTTATGTTTTTACAAATTTGAATTTTTTGTATAGAATTCTTTTGCCGAGAATCCAGTATAATGTATCCTCTCCATGAATGACCATCTATGTCGTCTGTGTGAATGTCGTGTAGTAAACGGATGTATTCTACATCTATGGGATGATTAGCAATCTACAAAATAAGTGTTTCAAAAATATATGTAGTATACGTAATGTAATGTTCTTTGCTGTTAGAAATGGTGTTAATGCTGTTGCTGAAATAGTTACATCATGTAAAAACAATTTCACTGATTCTTCTGTGCATCCAGACAATACCACAAGTCTTGGTAAATCATCAGTAGGTGCTCCATTATTAATCTTTTTTTTGACATTCCATTGTAATAACATGTGACCATTGGCTCCACCGAAACCAAAAGAATTTATGCCTACATAACCATTTTTAAGCGGCATTGCTTCTGTGATGACACGGATGCTTCCATTTCTTAAGGCGTCTATATCGTCCCGCGGTGATGTAAAATTAATGTTAGGCGGTACAAAATCGGTTTCAAATTGTTACACGAAAGATTCGGGAATGAAAATGAACTGTAATGACACTAACAAATGAAAAGTATATATTATACGAGAGTACAAAAAAAGGAACATAGGCGCGAACAAGCTAACACGTGTATACGTAAGAGCGCCGGTGAACATAACATGAGAACTGAGAAGAATAATAATAATACGGCGTGAACGTCGTTAATAGAGGCGCCTGCATCGTAGCGGGGTCCGATGCGATATCGGCGGAAGCCAAAAGAAAATATAATTGGCGCGAAAGTCAAAAAGAATGTTTCAACACCCCACTACTTGAGCGTTTTCGCAAATTATTACATCTT